GAAAGAGAGACCCTGTGACGTGATGTCACCCCTGCAACGTGTTCAAACAACACACAGGGCAAGCCGAAATGTTCTGAAGTGTGGTTACATTTCTAGGGTCATATGGTTTCTGCGAAAACGCGGACGGGATCGTGGAGTCCATTCATAAAAACGTAATTTACTCTATAGTAAATTACCGCGGAATGCCACGGAATTCGTCAATTTTGGACGAATAAATCAAAAGTAGGTCTGCCACTTAATTCGAATCGCGATATGAACTAGTGTCTGTGAATGTTAAAATGCAAAAAGACGGTTTAAATATGAATCCTGCATGTTCCGCTTGCCTCTGTATGTATGAATGGCGGAAACGCGGTTTTATTTACTACACAAATACTGAAGCACGCGTGAAGCTCGCTGTGATTTTCGGCCTCTGCTTCTCACTATATGACGGCATGAACACAAAAACTTAATCTCCAGAGCTGCTGTGAGAGTCACTTCGTGAGAATTTTACCATTTCATTTGAGAAAACTAGCATCATCATACTGTATACACACAGAAACTTCATGGCAACCTGTCAAAATAAAAGTACCGTTTAATATGTAACAGAAATATATTACTCTTGTATTACTTTTGTAAAGTATAATGTACATCTTTTAAATAGGTACCGATACTGGTACCGTACCGGTTAAAATGTGAACGGTACCCAACCCTAACGCTAATGCACTTTACAAATGCTCCTCCTTAAACATGACTCTCATTGTGTCTGTGATGTTCCTCTTCTAGGGAAGTTACCTCGCTCACACGCAGGGCAAAAAGCATCAGACTAACTTGTAAGTGCATTTCTGCAGCTGTGATCATCAGGATGATGTTCAGTGTAGAGGAGCAACTCATTGTGTTATCTGTACTTTTCTATTTTAGAGCAAGACGAGCTGCAAAAGAGGCGAAGGATGCGCCGGCTCAACCCGCTCCAGAGAAAGTCAAGGTTGAGGTGAAGAAGTTCGTCAAGATTGGCAGACCGGGTTATAAAGGTAAGACACTTGAGCCTCAGACCTGCATCCTATTTACTGAATGAAATCAAGTAAGCATTTCTTACTAATTTTTTTCTGTGCTGAATGCAAAAACTAGTGTCTGTTTTGCTGGAGCATGTCACACTTTCTCACTAAATATGATGCATTTTGTTGCATTTTTGCTTTTACAGACATTTGTCTTGGTTAAGAAGTCTTGTATTCTCCATTTAAATCCGTGCAGTTGGATTTAAAGGGACAGCAGCCTATAAATACGTGCTGCTGAATATGTCACTAATGTTAATCAAACAACAAAACCGCTATAACAAAGATTAATCCAAATTGAATTCATACAGTGAACACAATGCAGTGTTATTTTACACTTAATTATTAAATTTCTGTACCTGAATACTACTGTATTTTATCTATGCTTGTAAATTGTGTATTTGTTCTTTTTTCCCCCTTTTTCTTTCTTTTTTTTTAGTGACTGTTCACTTGCCTTTAATCATGTTTGAACTTTCTCAGACTATAGTTTTTGCTGTGGTATATGAAGAAGTACTTAAAGTGTATGGAAAGCAAAGTTACAATGATATAAAATTAGTGTCATTCATTTTTTGTCATTCACATTGATGTTAAAATGACGTTTTCTGATTTGTGACATTACTTTTTATGTACTGCTAAAACACTGCTGGTCACTTTCAGAAGTTGTAGTGATGCTTTCTTTTCCAAGAAAGAATGTGAAACAAATTGGTTACATAATTTTCATTTTTGAATATTTTAAAATATAATTTAAATAGATTTTTCACACTTTAAGCAATATCGTATCGCATATCGAATATCGCATTTTTTAACAAGGTATCGCCGGTTTTGTTTACTACACAAATACTGAAGCACGTGTGACGCTCGCGGTGATTCCCGGCCTCTACGTCTCACTATATGACGGCATGAACACAAAAACTTAATCTCCAGAGCTGCTGTTAGAGTCACTTCGTGAGAATTTTACCGTTTCATTTGAGAAAACTAGCATCATCATACTGTATACACACAGAAACCTCATGGCAACCTGTCAAAATAAAAGTACGGTTTAACATGTAACAGAAATATATTACTCTTGTATAAAGTATAATGTACATCTTTTAAATATTCAATTTTCTATCAAATTTAAATAAAACAATTAAATGATAAAAATAAATATTACAACCAGATTAATCACTTAAATTATTAGCCTATTAAAAAATGTTTTAAAGGAATATTCACACAATTTTTCTTCCATGTATTAATTTCAACAGTAAACCTCAGTTTGTTTGCCAAAAAAATAAAAGGGTTTAATTTTCATTTGATTTAAAATAAATGTTTAATGCCTTCATTTGATTTTCAGAAAAATTAAAACAAGAATAAGAAGTTTGTAGGGCCCTATTGTTCAAAATGTTGAAATTGAGACTTTTGGACATATTTTTTTCACTGAAATAAATGTTTTTGTAATTACACAGAGAGTAAAGTACCGACAAAAGGTACCGTTGGGCACCAAAATTCAGGTACCGATACCGGTTAAAATGTGAACGGTACCCAACCCTAACGCTAATGCACTTTACAAATGCTCCTCCTTAAACATGACTCTCATTGTGTCTGTGATGTTCCTCTTCTAGGGAAGTTACCTCGCTCACACGCAGGGCAAAAAGCATCAGACTAACTTGTAAGTGCATTTCTGGAGCTGTGATGATCAGGATGGTGTTTAGTGTAGAGTAGGAGTTCATTGTGTTGTCTGTACTTTCCTGTTTTAGAGCAAGACGAGCTGCAAAAGAGGCGAAGGATGCGCCGGCTCAACCCGCTCCAGAGAAAGTCAAGGTTGAGGTGAAGAAGTTCGTCAAGATTGGCAGACCGGGTTATAAAGGTAAGACACTGAGCCTCATTTCTGAAACATGAGCCTGCATCATATCTACTGAATGAAATCCAATACTTGTTTCTTACTCATTTTGTGGTAAAATTTTGCCAGGAAAAGTTTTAGAATTTTTATCACATGTTAATGTAACTTGTTTTTTCTGTATTTGTTATACTTGTATTTTTTAAATTGTATATGCCATGAAAATAGCCTTTGATGCTGACATGGCATTAAATAAACATATACTATATGTGACCCTGGAGCACAAAACCAGTCTTAAGGGTAATTTTTTCGAGATTGAGATTTATACATCATCTGAAAGCGGAATAAATACGCTTTCCATTGATGTATGGTTTGTTAGGATCAGACAATATTTGGCTGAGATACAGCTATTTGAAAAGCTGGAATCAGAGGCTGCAAAAAAAAAAAAAAATCAGAAAACTGCCTTTAAAGTTGTCCAAAGTCTGTGATGTTCCTCTTCTAGGGAAGTTACCTCGCTCACACGCAGGGCAAAAAGCATCAGACTAACTTGTAAGTGCATTTCTGGAGCTGTGATGATCAGGATGGTGTTTAGTGTAGAGTAGGAGTTCATTGTGTTGTCTGTACTTTCCTGTTTTAGAGCAAGACGAGCTGCAAAAGAGGCGAAGGATGCGCCGGCTCAACCCGCTCCAGAGAAAGTCAAGGTTGAGGTGAAGAAGTTCGTCAAGATTGGCAGACCGGGTTATAAAGGTAAGACACTGAGCCTCATTTCTGAAACATGAGCCTGCATCATATCTACTGAATGAAATCCAATACTTGTTTCTTACTCATTTTGTGGTAAAATTTTGCCAGGAAAAGTTTTAGAATTTTTATCACATGTTAATGTAACTTGTTTTTTCTGTATTTGTTATACTTGTATTTTTTAAATTGTATATGCCATGAAAATAGCCTTTGATGCTGACATGGCATTAAATAAACATATACTATATGTGACCCTGGAGCACAAAACCAGTCTTAAGGGTACATTTTTCAAAATTATTATTTGAAAATCTGGAATCTGAGGGTGCAAAAAAATCAAAATATTGAGAATGCATATTACTAATCAAAAATTAAGTTTTGACATATTTACAGTAGGAAATTTACAACAAATCTTCATGGAACATGATCTTTACTTCATATCCTAATGATTTTTGGCATAAAAGAAAAATTGATAATTTTGACCCATACAATGTATTTTTGGCTATTGCTACAAATATACCCCAGCGACTTAACACTGCTTTTGTGCTGCAGGGTCACATATTATACTACACTAATTTTGTGGTGCGGATTCCAAAAATAGTGGTTGTTTCGCTCCAGTATGTCACATTTTCTCACAAAATATGATGCATTTCATTAGCAGGAAAAACACCTCAAACACATGATTCCTGTCTGAATCTGAGATGTATTTCAACTGTTAGTTCAATTCTCAGCCCATTTTCACATGCATGGCATTATTTTATGCCTCATCCTGATTTCAGGAGACGAAATAAAATGCAAACGTGAGCCAGATTTTCTGCTGCATCTCTGTGTGTTTTACTGCATCCAAACAACCACAGAATTTATTTATACATTTGTCACATATCTGCTTTTGTTATTTTGAGGAGTGCATTAAAGCTAAAAAAAATCCTTATCCAATAATCACAAACAACTGGACGGTTCTGGAAATTCATTGTCCAGAAGCTGTGGTACAGATCTAAATGTCATCGATTAACAGATGTGCCCGTGTTTTTATATTTTGCTCATAGTAACAAAACAAAGAGATCCAGAGATCGGACAGCAGAGTCTGCTTTTCCAGGTAAACTTCTCTCTGACTTTGAGAAGCTGAATGTTCTGGTTGGTCTGTTCGGGGTTAATGTTAAATAAGATCTCTCTTTCTCTTGTCATTTTGATATGCAACTAGGGGTGTGCGATATATATCGTCTGCAATAATATCGTAATTGTTGTTTTAACGATGTGCGATTTGACATTCTCGAGGATTTTGCATGATTGTCTAATAAAATGCATTTAGAATGATCACAAAATTCAAGATATGGCGACAGAAACTGTATATATTTATATCATTTCATATAGTTAATCAATATCACGCAAAGAGTGTCGTTTCTTTCTCCAAAAATTACCATGATTACAAACGTAGCATTGATTTTTTTTTTTTTACAACCGTTCAAAAAACAGGAAGTTAATTTAAGAAACTTACGTTTTTGCTCTATTTCGACAACAAAAATAATTCACAACACAGCCACAGCACTGTTTTTCGTCTCTGAGGAACATGAATCAACCGTTTAAATGATTCGGTTCAGTCGCAGTGACTCACGTATTAACAGTGCCTTGCTGCCACCTACTGGCGGTTTTAATTTCACATTTAAGGTAACTTTTCATTATTTAAATAATTTAAAATAACCGTATTCAACGTTTTATGTTTAATATATCAAAACATTATTCATGCATTTGTAATTGCAGGTTAAATGCATTCATGTCCAGCATTAAACAGTGTGTAAATACATCTAAATGCCACTTCAGGCGCAGCTTCTGTGCTTCCCCTGCATTGCAAAGATTAATTTTGATACTGATTTAATTTGCCTGGTAACAGCCCAAATGTCTTAATATTCTAATTCACTGATTAAATGTAAGAATTTGACTCGAAAGATAATGGACGCTTTTAGAAAAATGGCTTTATAAAGGTAAAAATGCCCGTAAAAGGTAAAAATCAATTTAAACGTATTGTAAAAGATTAATTTCTATCACTGCTGTGAACTGACCGCCGCACAGAATATGAAGAATATCAAAAACATTAGGAGTCAGCTGTCCACGGCAGTCCTTAAGATACAAGCACAATAACACACTCAGCAAAATATCATCTAATTATCGTTATCGATAAAATTCAAGAAAATATCGAGATATCATGTCTTGTCAATATCGCACACCCCTATGCATCCCTGCATTGCCATAATAAACAATGGCCTTGTTTTTCAGATTGATTACCCAGAGATAGCAGAAGGTATCGGGCCGAGGCATCGCTTCATGTCGGCGTATGAGCAGAGAATCGAACCTCCGGACCGTCGCTGGCAGTATCTGCTGTTTGCAGCCGAGCCGTATGAAACCATTGCGTTCAAGGTCTGTCTAACTGTCTCATACTTGAAACAAGGAAGGATTGTGAAATGACATGCTGTTAAACCTGTTTCACACTCAATCTACTCCTTCTGTCTCGGATTGAGAGTTTAGAGTGTTTTATCCAGTCAAAGCTCTTTTAGTGTAACTGTAGCTGGAGCTTCACGAGTCAAATCTTGACTGATTTTGATCAAGTAAAGGTCAGAATAACTAGCAATATCTCCAGATGAATACTTACTGGACTGAAGCAGCTCAGCTTTACTTGATTCTCCATGAATCATGTTTTAGAGTCTCAAATCTGATCCTCAGGATCTTTTGAGGAGCGTTTGTTTCCAGAAGCTTTACTTTCACTGTTCCTCAGCGGAGGAATGATCTTCACAAGCCTCCAGAACATCTCACATCTGAGGAGGAGCCTTTATTTCTTCAGCTCTCAATCACTGCATTATATGTTTGGAGCATTTCAATCTCATCTTATTATTACTGGAGATATAGAGCCACGACTGATATTTAGATCATTTTATGTCAGTATCTGCTGTACTGTTAGAAAGATCTCATTGATTTACATCACAAGCATCAGAATTTCATTATAAAAATATCAGCATCTGCAGCAAATTCATATTTTTGCTCAGTTTGGGTCTCTAAGATTGAGCTGCATTTTTTCACTATATGAGCTGATCAAATAGGTTACAAAACATAAAACACACATGCAAACTTTTAATATTTAAAAAAAAAACATTTTGTCTAAAGGTTCAATAAACAGTTAATACGTCAGGCTTTTACTATCACAGGCTTTATCATTGTTTTGCTTATATTTTCAGGTTCCCAGTCGAGAGATCGACAAAGCAGAGACTCGTTTTTGGACACACTGGAACAGGGAAACGAAACAGGTGAGAACGGATGGATTAAATCATTTGTGACCCTGGACCACAAAACCAGTCATAAGGGTCAATATTTTGAAATTGAGATTCATACACCATCTCAAAGCTGAATAAATAAGCTTTCCATTGATGTATGGTTTGTTAGGATAGGACAATATTTGAAAATCTGGAATCTGAGGGTGCAAAACAATCAAAATATTGAGAAAATAATCTTTAAAGTTGTCCAAATGTGAGGTTCTTAGCAATGCATATTACTAATCAAAAATTAAGTTTTGATATATCTACGGTAGGAAATTTACAAAATATCTCTATGGAACATGATGATTTTTGGCATAAAAGAAAAATCAATAATTTTGACCCATACAATTTATTTTTGGCTATTGCTACAAATATACCCCAGCGACTTAACACTGCTTTTGTGCTGCAGGGTCACATATGTGCTCCTTCTCTATGTGCTGAATGCAAGCTCTCGTTCTCCTCCAGTTTTTCCTGCAGTTTCACTTTAAGATGGAGAAAGCTCTGATCGCTCCACCGGGTCAGGCGCCGTCGCTCGGCATGAAGCGTCCTCCTTCACTGATCACTGGACTCGGCCCACATCCACACAGTGACTCCATGCCACCCCCGCCGCCTGGAGGAATGCATGGGATGCCCCCCGGAGCCCCCATGCCTCCACATATGCCCCCTCCAGGAGCCCTGCCTCCTCACATGAGGCCACCGCTCCCCATGGACGGATAGCCTTAATGACTTTACTTGAAGCTTTTACATATAATGCATTGTAAATTGATAATGCATCAATTTTGCCTTGTAATGCACCTTATAATGCATTATATGATCTCATGAATAATTATGCATTCATTGTAACATCTTTAGAAAGTATAATGCATTAAAACAAACAAATGTTATAATGCATTTTTAACTTTGGTTACAATTATATAATGCATTATAAGGCACATTATGAATATTTTTTTAAATCATGCATTATACATAAAGGCTTCAAGTGTTAACAATGTATCGTTCTAGACATAAATGGACACGTTTATTTTGTTTCCCCCTTTATTTTCATGTGCACAGCCCTCTAAATATGTAGTGAGTTGACAGTTGTGAACCGCAGCATCTCTACCAAACAATGTCCAAATGTTATTTTTATGCTTTTTTTATTATTAAAAAAACTTGACATGATATTGAAGTGGTGTTGGTCTTTTCTTGTATACTGTAACATCTGAATGAAATGATTTCTTGAAAGAGAAAAGATGTTAGAATTATATTTTGAGGGCACATAAATAAAAAAAAAATGATGTGCACGGATAAAGCTTTTATAATAAGCACACACACACATATATATGTAGTTGGTAATTCTGTGCATTACAAAAATTATTACTAAATCATGATGGTTAATTTTTGTTCTTTTACAAAAAATTTGCTTGATAAGGTGTTGGGAGCTCATGGGTTTTCAGGCTCCTTTTAGTTTTAAGCAAAATTTGCTTTGAAATTAGTTTTGAAGCCTAAAGCTGCATGTTTGTAAGAAACAAGTCTTGTGGATTATTGTGATGGTTTTTTTTAAAGAAACAAATTCATCGCGACATTTTTAACTTTGAATCGTTGCTTCTGGCTAAAATATGACTCCATAATCCATAATAATGCTTCCTCCGGTGAAAAAGTGCATCTGCTGTTGTCTCTCACATCAAAATCCAGCCACATACTTGTTTCGAGCTGTTTAAACGCTGTTTGATCTGTGCAGATTTATCTCCTGATTCACACCAGAACACTTTTTCACTGGAGGAAGAGTTATTATGGATTATGGACTCAAATGTATTTTAGTTAAAAACGTCTTAATGCTGGATTTGTTTCAGTTTTTGTCTTCTCCAGATGTTAACTGATGGACTGGAGTGCTGTGGATTACTTGTGGATTATTGTGATGTTTTTATCAGCTGTTTGGACTCTCATTCTGACGGCACCCATTCACTGCAGAGCATCCATTGCTGAGACACTGATGCAATGCTACATTTCTCCAAACCTGATGAAGAAACAAACTCATCCTAATCTCGGATGTCCTGAGGGTGAGCATATTTTCAGCAAATTTTCATTTTTGGCTGAACTATTCCTTTAAGCAACTTTAAAAAGAACTCAAGAAAACACTATTTACATACGTTTAAAAAAAAAATTATTTTTGCATTGCATTACTTTTACAGCTTTGTCTTAAATATTACTTTAACCATCTTAAAAAGAAACCGGCACTGAAGTACTAATAAACTAATTATTGTTATTGTAACCTCTTGATCTCACCTGACAGTAATCAATGATTTCTTAATATCCTCTAGCAGAATATGAGGTTTGTGAGTTGAGCTTGCAGTCATAATTGCAAAAAGTCCTGTAAAAATCTCAAGGGGTTTATGACTTCAATGACCATAAAGTCTCAAAAGCATACAGATTTTACAAAACAAAAAAGCACCAAATAATACCTTTTTATCATAGGGAGAAGTGCATCGGGATATTGCAAACCTTTCAAGAACATATTTCACCCTATAATCAAAAGAAAACAAATTTTGCTAAAGAAATCGAATCCCTGTAGGATCATTAAGATTTTTTTCAAGACAATTAAGAGCATATGCAATCCCTGTTTTCTTTATGCACTCATTATCTGTGCATCACAGATTCTCTCTTTCTTCATAGGTTTTTGCTTGCTCTCTTTCGCTGGTTTCTTTGGTTTCTTCATCTCTATGTCCTCCTCTTCTTCTTTCACTTCCTTGACTTTCTTCTTGACTTTCATCTCTTTCTCTTTTGTCAGTCTCTCTTTAGTCTCATCTACTTCTCGTCGTCCTCTTCTTCTGCGCTCAGTGAATTTTGTCTCTCTTTTCTTCAGGAGCCTGAGGTCTGGAAGGGCCCGGTGTCTGAGGCCCCTGGAAACTCTCCTGCGACTCGCTCTCTTGGATTTTCCTTCATCATCATCATCATCAATCCACCAGAACAATGTGTCCCATAAGGAAGTGTCCAGCTAAGAGTATTAATTCAGATGAGAATGATTATTATTTTTACATACAGATATGTGCAATAACATGTTTTTCGTGCCTAACTATTTCCATAGTGTCCCTGTGGATAATCATTTTTAATGATAGGCTAACTGTGCATTATTCTTCTTATTACAATGTTGCTCATATTAACATGAAATATTGATTTGAATGGATTTAAAAATAATAATTTTATCTGTACATTATCGTGAAGCTTCCGCCGCTAAGAAAAATAGTCCATCACAATGTACAATATTAAAAACAATATTAATACCAAGTATTCTGAGTTAATTTTCGCCACGTTATTAACCCCTTAACTGTCACCGTCGCAGCTGTGAGACGCTTGGCGCTCTTTTTTTTCCTTGTCCTTTTTCTCTATCAAATCTTTTAGTAATAATCATAAAGTATATATCATTTGAAAGCGTAGAAGCCCAAGATTCATCCTGTGAAAACTATTTTGAAATCGGACATTGCGTTACCATAGAAATGGTACTTTAAAATCTTTTGGCGGTCTCCTCCCCCTTAGTGGGCGGTGTCAAGTGTCATATTACAAAATGCATTAAAACTTTTTAGAATCTTGACGAAAAACATGTCATTGGAAAGGTCTGAGTCTCAGAATTCCATATTTGGTTATTTTGAGATAGAAGTAATATTGACAGAAATCTAGACATTTGTCACAGAAAAAATGCATTAAAATATTTTTTATGGAGTTTGAATGTCAATTTTTTTCATATCAACTTCAAATTTGGAACATAACTTATTTAGACATAAAGCTTTAATTTTATACCAGTTTTAGAGTAAAACCTGTTATGTTAAATATTTATAATAAATAAAATAAAATAAAATTAATATAGTGCATTTTATTTACAGTACATTTAAACTTTTTGATACTTTAATGTTTTGAAAAAATTCAATTTTTGCTATAATCTGCTGATTTTCTTCTTTAAAAAGAGTCCAAAGTGTTAATAAATTACAACAACTTAAGTTTGGATAGTGCACTTTCATGACTATTTTTAAAAAATGGGGAGGTGACAGTTAAGGGGTTAAATTACTGAGACGCACGGTGGTGCTAATTGTGTAAAAGAAAAGAAAATTGCGAGTCGGCGGAGTGATACGAGACACATGAAAGTAGCGCCAGTTTCAGTTACCCGGTTGACCAATCAGAATTAAGCACTTTCATGCGCAAGGCACGAATGCAACGGTCAAAAACGTCAGTCGAGTGTGTCTTTACAAAGAAAAACAACACTTTATTAGCCAAAGCGATATATTTAGCTTTATAGGCCTTGTGTTTGTTTTTGTCCTTACTTCATGCGGTGTTATTTTCCCCCTTTTAATCAGAGCGTGTCTGTCGTTTAGTGCTATGAGCTCTTCACTGACCTCCTTACGGCCTCTGACGGCCTCTGCGTGAGGAGAAAACATCTGTCAGTCATTTTAGAGTTTGGTGTTTTTAGATGTTATGAGTGTTTGGGCCTGTATTTGGCATAAACACACTTGCCGTGTATTCTTTGTAAACCGGAGCTCAGCAGCAGGATGGTTATGGCTGCGATCAGACACCTGTTCAGCGTCACGCCCTCCCACGGCGTCTCGATCTGCGTCAGATTCTGGATGGACAGTGCTTTGCGTAACGACGCTGCTGGACAGACGACAAAACACATGTGGGTCATTCAGCTGTAACACGTTTTAATCTAAATGTAGGTTTAGACATGGTGATGGAAAACAAATATGAGATGGAAAGAAAAATGATATCTAGATGCGTTTGCGTTCGCTCGCAAAACTATTACAAGAATTTTTTCATTCACTTTCAAAACGTTTGCGTTCTGCGTAAAACGATTGCGTTACAACCAGAACCATTTTATTCACTTTAAAAACATTACGAAGCGTTCCTCACAAAACTATTATAAGACATTTTTCGTTCACTTTCAAAACGTTCTGACGAGAATTTTTAAATTTGCTTTCAAAACGTTTGCGTTCTCTAGTAAAACGATTGCGCTCCGACCAGAACCTTTTCAGTAACTTTAAAAACTGTACGAAGCGTTCGATCGCAAAACTATTACAATAAACTTTTCGTTCACTTTCAAAACTTTTGCGTTCTCTAGTAACACGATTGTGTTCCGACCAGAACCTTTTCATTAACTTTAAAAACTTTACGAAGCGTTCGCTCGCAAAACTATTACAATAAATTTTTCGTTCACTTTCAAAACTTTTGCGTTCTCTAGTAACACGATTGTGTTCCGACCAGAACCTTTTCATTAACTTTAAAAACTTTACGAAGCGTTCGCTCGCAAAACTATTACAATAAATTTTTCGTTCACTTTCAAAACTTTTGCGTTCTCTAGTAACACGATTGTGTTCCGACCAGAACCTTTTCATTAACTTTAAAAACTTTACGAAGCGTTCGCTCGCAAAACTATTACAATAAATTTTTCGTTCACTTTCAAAACTTTTGCGTTCTCTAGTAACACGATTGTGTTCCGACCAGAACCTTTTCATTAACTTTAAAAACTTTACGAAGCGTTCGCTCGCAAAACTATTACAATACATTTTTTGTTCACTTTCAAAACTTTTGCGTTGTCTCGTAAAACGATTGCGTTCCGACCAGAACCTTTTCATTAACTTTAAAAACTTTACGAAGCGTTCGCTCGCAAAACTATTACAATAAATTTTTCGTTCACTTTCAAAACTTTTGCGTTCTCTCGTAAAACGATTGCGTTCCGACCAAAACCTTTTCATTAACTTTAAAAACTTTATGAAGCGTTCGCTCGCAAAACTATTACAATAAATTTTTCATTCACTTTCAAAACTTTTGCGTTCTCTAGTAAAACGATTGCGTTCCGACCAGAACCTTTTCATTAACTTTAAAAACTTTACGAAGCGTTCGCTCGCAAAACTATTACAATAAATTTTTCATTCACTTTCAAAACTTTTGCGTTCTCTAGTAAAACGATTGCGTTCCGACCAGAACCTTTTTATTTACTTTCAAAACTTTACAAAGCGTTCGCTCGTAAAACTATTACAATAATTTTTTCGTTCACTTTCAAAACGTTCTGACGAGAATTTTTTAATTCGCTTTCAAAACTTTTGCATTCTCTCGTAAAACGATTGCGTTCCGACCAGAACCATTTTATTCACTTTCAAAACTTTACAAAGCGTTCGCTCGTAAAACTATTACAAGAATTTTTTCAATCACTTTCAAAACGTTCTGACGAGAATTTTTATTCACTTTCAAAACTTTTGCGTTCTATTGCAAAACTATTACGTCCCAATGAGAAACTTTGCTTTCTCTCGTAAAACATTTGTGTTCTCTTGCAAAATTATCGTGGTACCGAGAATCGTTGCGTGCCCTCGCAAAATCACTGGAAATATAGTTGTTCCTCCCACATCATATTATTTCAATTACAAAAATGTTTGCAAGTGAAAAAAATTAGATGGGAGGAAAAGTCGTTTTCAATGCTTTTTGCGTTCTCTCACAAACGAACAGGAATGAAGTTTTTCCTCCCATCGCAATTTCTTTCTTTCATTATTATTATTTTTTATTTATTTATTTATTTTGTACCATCCCCATGCCTTTTTATTACAAACACTGATCTTCATTTCCGTTAATTATCAGACTTACTAAAAAGTTCAATTAAAATTTTTATAAATAACATATATTTAGCTAAATAAAATTTTTTTTTGATTTAATGCATCTTACAGTACTATAGCTAATATAAAAAAATGATAATGTTAGAAACTAAATATTTTCCAAATAATATTTTACATGTTTATAATGTTATTTTTTTCGCTGTTTAAATTTGATCTTTTTGCGTAAAAAAAACATATAGCTGTCTGTTAAATTTTAGGATAGGGCTTCAGATGGAAATTCAATTAAATTAAATTGATTCAGGATGAAGAAGCTATTATGATTTGAGTTACGTCATAACACCACTAACATCTTTGCTAATGAAACCAGCCTAAGATAATTACTGGTCTGACGGGTCTGGTCTGATGTGGTTTAGTACACACACTTACTGTTGGGAAGTACATTTACTTCTTATTTTTACAGGTTGTTTTTGGTCACGAGTTATCTTGCATTTGTTTGACCCAAGTGAATACTGATGGTCTAAAATTAAACAACAAAGAGAGGTCAAGAATAGATTGAAAGAGTGCGGATGAGCATGAGTTTGTGTTTCGCAGGTGATCCGAGCGACATACTGGCGCTGGAGACCGGATGTTCCCGTGGAATCATCTTCGGGACCTGCTGGACGATTGGAGCTTCCTGCAGGACACAGAAGGTTTATTAATGCATTGGTAAATGTGTGTGTTCGAGGTCATGTTCAGATGGTTTGCAGGCCGTGAATGTGGCGGCGTGATCTCCAGCTGTCATGTGATTTCAGACTCACCTCTCGCACCCTCCTCTGAGCGTACATCTCTAAAAACAACAACAGCAACACATCAGACGCACATCACAAACAGCTCACTGAGGAAACAATACGTTCTCAGGCATTTTAATGAATAAAAATGCTAGTTAACCTGATAATCTGTTAAGTTTAATCAATAAAAATGCAGTGATGTTGTACAATGCAATAGTATAAAAATGATTTGCTTTATGATTAACTGTAAAAACCCATTTACTTTGGGGAAATTGCATGCATTTCTGCAGTAATATTGTTAAAGTTATAATTTTTGATCATGTTAGTAATGATCTATAACTTTAGAGAACTTTCCTTACATTTAATTCGATTATTTTAGTTGGATTTTTAATGAAGTGGGATCAGATTTAGTTTTAGATTTATCAAAAATAATAATTATAATTTTTGTTTGTTTTATGTGTTTTTTTTTTATATATAGTTTATTTATTTACTTGTGTCTCACAGGGTTATTATTGTTGAAACCAAAATTAAAAGCATTAAAAAAACATTTTCGTTACTTGAAATAAAGTAAATGCTAACTGAAATAAAAAAATATATATATATAGTTGCCAAGGCAACATTTTTCACTTTAATTTAGTTTAACTTGATGTACTGAAATAACTAAAATCAAAATACAAAATAAAAATACATATAGACATATATTTAAAAAAAAAAAACTTCTAAAAATGGCAAAAATCTGTCATTTTTAGTTAATAAAAAATGCAAGTTAACCTCTTAATCGATTATCTTTAAGCAGTGAAAAATAACATTAGATTTAACAAACAATGCATGTGATTTTATTGTACAGTGCAATGCTATAAAAAATGTAAGAATGAATTGCCTTATAATTTACAGTAAAAACCTATATGCAACAAGAAATTGCATGCACTTTTACAGTAAGATTGTTCAAATAATGTTTTGAAAGTAAAAACTGCAAGTCACTTTATAATCATGTGGCTGTAGAGAGAGCTGTTGTCCGTTCATGTGTTCGGTGTCATGTTGCTCGTGTCTGTCAAGGTTATTGTGATGTATTATTAGACTCAGTGTTCACTTTAACACCACAAATAGTGTGGATGCTTTCAGCCTGATCTTAATTTAGAAAGAATGCTTTGTTTCCAAGACATCTTGACTCCTGAGGCTTTTATATTTATGTTAGAAACAGAAATACAGTGTAGAAACATGCTCATTTGTACCTGCTCTGCCTCCTGTTCGCGCTTGTCTGATAGGTTTCTGTGGAGGAACTTCTTGCAGTGGTTTGCCAAGCTCTTCCTCAAATGTCTCAAAGGTGCTTTCGTCCATAGCTCACCTGAGAAACAAGGTGAATTTTGAAAGCTAGAGGCCCAAAGTTAAAAATACTTGATCCTTTCAGAGCTTCAGCACAGTCACACCGCAGTTAATATCACATTAAACACCTCAGATAATAAAACACAGACACCCATGAAGGAAACACACTGTTGCATTGCAATTTACATTTTGTCTTGTAATTGTTTTGCAAAGTTTTAAACCCAAATGATCAAATGCAACAGTGTTTAAGCTTCATGCATTATGCAAAAATATCTATGGTAAATATTTTAGAGCACAGCATTGTTTTTTTTGTTTTTTTTTTCAAGACCTGTAAATTATAATTTTAAAATTTAAATATTTTGTTTTAAAATATTTACATTTCAATACTGTGAAAATATTCAGATGAAATATTTTAGAGTAGTGCATAATTGTAAAATATTTTCCAGACCTGTAAATCACATTTTAAAACAAAAGATTTAAATGTCAAAATTTTGATTCACAGGCCTTTTTTTAATTTTTATTATTATGCTGTACTCTAAAATATTTAATCAGATAGAAATCGGTCTTGTGGGAGCTATGTATCTCTAGAATCATTTTTACAAATCCAGTAATCACAAACAGATGGAAAAGTCATTTACATTCATTAGTCAAACAGTGCAGGAACATTACAGTCAGTCATTTTATGTCAAAAAACACTGCAAATGACTTTTTACTTTATGCTATTTCCAGAGCATTTTTACTTCATGCTATTTCTTGAGTGTTCGAATAATAACGGTCCTTAAATATCCACAGAGTCCGTCACACACACATCAGAAGCACAAACAGCTCATCCAGCCACTGGACTTCACTTTTGACCCCGGTAACAGCGCGGCTTACCTGCATAGATGTGAGCAGGAGACCCGAGGAGGAGCAGGCGGAGAGGACGGCGGTGTGAGAGCGCTGGAGCATGTGTAGGACACACACACACACACACATCACCAGAGACACACTCTCTCTCTCTCTCACACACACACACACACACATCACCAGAGACACACTCTCTCTCTCTCACACACACACGCACACTCTCACACACACGCGCACACACCCACACATCACCAGAGACACACTCTCTCTCTCTCTCACACACACACACACACATCACCAGAGACTCACACACACACACATCACCAGAGACACACTCTCTCTCTCACAAACACACACATCACCAGAGACACACTCTCTCTCTCACACACACACACACACACAAACACACACACGTCACCAGAGACACTCTCTCACACACACACACACACACACACACACACTCACTCTCTCACACACACACACACTAAAGATACATTAGCACAAGCACATTTTCAAGTTTTATATATAGTATAATGTTGATTCACACATATTAAAGATACATATATTTTACTTCATATTATTGATTAAATATGACATAATATTTAATAATAGTAATGTAATTAAATAATTATTTTATAGTTAATTAATAATGAATATTATTCAATACTATTTTATATATTCTTATATAATCAGTAAGTATTATCAATATATATATATATATATTGTATTGCAAGGAAGATATTGTTAAATTATGATTTTCTTTATTTTAATTATTATTTTAATTGGTAATATTCTGAGGCTGCCAAGTAAATAGCCTTTGATTAATTTATGGAATAATTTAGAAATAAGAAACAGAAAACAGTACAGGACACATCAAGCCAGATACTTTATTAACAATTCTTTCCTTTGTATGTGTATAATGCATCTGTTGCATAACTGTAATACTATTAATGTGTGTAAAATTCACTGTTGCACAGAGCAAGAGAGTCGATCAGAGACGAGCACTAGAGGATGCTGTGACTCCTTGTGAATGATGGTGGGCTTGCATTAAATCTACAGATCAACAAATCTGACCTGAATTTGACTGTGAATTCTCGTGTACACCAACTGTAAGAGAAATATAACAGAGCATGAGCTGAAAACCAAAGCCAGCTCTCTTTATTAAGTAACACATTACAGGATTGTTTGGGTGGTAATATGTCTGCAATTCCTCTGATATCTTTCCAGTGGCAACAGTTGCATCATGAGCGACGTCTTTAAAGCATCAACTGAAGCATCTCTCTCTCCTTCATGGCTGATTTCACTGCGATTAGGAGGTGAGATGGACTGACAGTGTGTCCCGACTGCACAGCCGAAGAGCTTTCAGCTGTCTGCTCTCATTAAAGCTTCTGTTCGGAGGGAGAGACAGTATTTCAGGTTTCTCAGGAGTGGAAATGGCGTCTCCGTGTGACCTTTCCCAGCTCAGATGTCAGCCACGTGCTTTTAGCATCTGATGTTAATGCTCAGGTGCATGGTGCAGACGGCACGAAAGCTTCAAGAACAATGAATGTTCAGTTCTTACTCAACATTTCACAGATACTTCTCACCCAGACGGCGTTCATTCAGTAACAGTTCTTTTAGGCTAGCAGCACACCACATAAATGCAGATCAAAAATAAATAATACTAATAGTAAGGAAGCATCTGCTAAATACATACAGGGAAGGCCGGGGCTAGTTGTCAAGTTCTTTGTTGTTGTTGTTACTTTTCTCCAGAAAGGGTTTATTTTTTAAATTAATTTACAAAAAACTTGTTTGGGACACAAAACCTGATTTTTGAGATCTAGATTTTTTTTTCTTCTTCAAATCAAACCAACAAATCCCTGGGATTACATCCATTAATTTCCATAAGATAATTAATAAGTAGAAAAGATGTGCATGTGTATACATAAACAGCCACTTATGTACATACTCACACACACTGTATAAATAAATAATAACAATAAATAAAAAAATACAGTAAATGTTAAATAAAAAAAATTTATGATAATTTATTTTTAATAAGTAAATGATAAAATTAAAAATGTGACAACTAGCCCTGGTCTACCCGATTAATGAAAGCTCTTAATTGTTGAGCACAGCTTAATTGATAATTTCACTCATATTTTCACAGCTTTATGAAATATACTCTACTGTTCAATTTGGAGTTTGGAGGTCGGTAAGGTAATGTTTATGAAAGAAGTATTTTCTGCTCACCAAGGCGGCATTTATTTGATCAAAATTACAGTAAAAATTGTGAAATATTATTGTAATTTAAAACAGCTGTTTTACAGCCATGCACAGGTGCAGCAGAATGAATCCGTGCCGTTACAGGACACTGATAATTCCCTGGAATGAAGTGTGATTTATTATTTATTTAGGAGGTGCAGGCTGCCTGTCAGAATCATCTGCATCTCAAACATGCATGCCAGAATACTAAACACTGTAAATCAACAGTAAACAAAAACTACTGTAAGTGTAACTAAACTGTGAAGTGAAAACTTCATCAATAAGCCTTTGCACTTCAACAGTTTATGTGTGTTTGGAAAAAAAAAAAATCTATTTTGCAGAAAATGAAGCCTGTTTATGCTGATTATTAGAAACATTTCTGATTATCATCAATGTTGAAAACAGTTGTGCTGCCCAATATTTTTGTGGATACATTTTATTTTTCAGGATTCACAGATGAATAGAAAGTTCAAAAGAGCAGCGTTTATTTGAAATAGGAATCTTTTGTAACATTATAAATGTCTTTACTGACACTTTTGACCAATTTAATGCATCCTTGCTGAATAAAAGTTTAAAAAAAATACCCCAGATTTCTGACCTGTAATATATGACTGACTGAAATACATTTCAAATCTAGGTCCCACTTTATATTAAGTGGCCCTTAACTACTATGTACTTACAATTAAATTAATAATTTGGTACAATGCACCTATTGTGTACATACATGTTTTTACATTGTACTTATATTTTAAAAATACCTGCATGTAATTACATCTGTAATTAATTTCTGTAATTACATTTATAATTACACTGTCGACCCACCCTTAAACCTGTCACTAACCTTACCCACATCCCACCTCAATAGCAGCAAAAGTGTTTTGCAATACAATATGAACACAATAAGTTCATTGTACTTATTTTTTGATGTAAGTACTTAGTAGTTAAGGCCACTTAATATAAAGTAGGACCCAAATCTATTTCAGGACGCAGCGGGGTTCAACTGCTCTCATGCGCACCTGAGCGATCATCAGTTATAGTCTCTCTGCTAACAGTGACCTGAAGCAACAACAAATGATCTCGAGCCTTAAAAGCGTTTGAGGCCTTTCTGAGCCGCTGCCAGTGTTTAGTGGAGGGTAAGAAAGTGGGCTAACGTCACCCTGGGCCTCTAAATACACCAAACGCATCTGAAGCTCCAGCAGGTCTTCACTGAGAGAAACGACACTGTTTTCTGTTCCTCGTAAAGGACACAAGCTGAACGCTCCATAAACCAGACCTTGTCCCAGGACACAAGACTGCGCAGATGGGCTGCAAAGCTCTGTGATCTTTGGCAAGGAGCTTGTTTGGAGCCGAGACACAGCTCTATGGCTTTCTGGAGACACATTTTGGATGTAGTTGAAAGCAAACACGACATCGGTGCGGTGTAATGGCCTTTCTCTTGATTTATTGCTCTTCTAAATACATGAATGTGATCAGATGTCTGTATTTGTGTGTCAAATGCTGCTTGTTTCTACCATACTTTTTGCTCAAGAACTTTTAATCATTTGGTATATTGGTGATTTTTACAGGTTTGTGACAACCACAAATCATTTTGAACACAAGATCTATTGTTTTTTAAACATTTTGCTTGTAAAGTGTTTGCAAGAAATCACACTTGCCTTGATATTTTGTATCTAATGCAATTTATAAGTATGATTGAAGTATACAAATACTTTTCGGCCCTCTGTACACTATCTAGAAATTGATACTTTTATTCATCAAGCATGCATTAAATTGATCAAAAGTGACAGTGAAGACATTTAGAATGTTACAAACGATTCCGCTGTTCTTTTGAACTTTCTATTCATCTGTGAATCCTGAAAAATAAAATGGAAAACTCTTATTTTAAATTGTAATAATATTTCACTGTTTTATTGCATTTTTGATCAAATAAATTCAGCCTTGATGAGCAGAAGAACATAATAAAAAAATCGTACCAACCAAACCTTTGAACAGTAGTGTAGAAGTAATTATATTGGATGTTTTTCCATAATGACTACAGTGTATAATAACTGATTTATTTTTTGCAACGAGGACAGACATCTGCCGTTTAATGTGAATGTAGCATCTGTTTATATCAGCAGTCGTTTTGAGTCATTCTGAACTTCCTCATGATCTCATATAGATCGCTGGTTCATGTGGAACAAACACGTTTCTGTGCCTTATAGATGCAAATGCATGCTTTATTGAACAACACTAATGATTTATCTTTAGTGTCCAAGCGCCTACCTTACCTTTACTAATGGATTACACTTAGATGTTAAATAATTAGTGTTTGCTAAGTCAATTTCTCACACTTGATGTTAGAGATTTTAAGTTTTATTAAACTTCAGCATGTTGTTTTACTTCTATTACAGACACTTTGAGTGATCAGATGCACCATTTTCAACCATAAAACAGGTTAAAAAAATCCCACAGATGCACATTAAAGGAGGAACCCAAGTCATATCTACAGACCAGAAGATCACAGAGACGCGATAAATCACCCAGAATGCCCTTGCATCATGCTGCTGAGTTTTGCACGGGCAAACATCACTCACATTTTCTTTAAAAGATGCAAAAATATATTTGTATAACGCCATCGGAGCACCTGTCTTGTGTTTCAAATGGAAATCATGCATGTTGCATGAGCCTCAGGCAGACGTGTGTTCATATGTCTGCTTTAGTATAACAGCCTGTCCATCACACACACGCACACACTCACTCACACACTCACACACTCACTCACTCACTCACACACACACACACCCCCTCACACACACACTCACACACACACACA